TTGATGCTTCATTAATTTATGAAGGTGGTAGTTTATTCTTACAATTAGAAATTACAAATAATAGTCCATTAACAATGACTAATTTCCAAATGCAATTTAATAAAAATGTTTTTGGATTAGTTCCTGGTCAATTAAATATTGATGCCATTCCTCCAAATAAACGTTGGGGTGCTTTACTTCCAGTTGGACTTATTCCTCCTGAAATTACAACTCCTGTTTCTTCTCGTTTAGAAGTTGCTATTGCTAATTCTACACAACAAATTTATTTCTATGTTCTTGAAATGCCAATTGGTTTATTAATGAAAGAACAGTCTCAAGTTGATATTGCTAATTGTGCTAATTTATGGAACTCTCTTCCAAATACTATGTCTAAAGAATATAAAGGATCTGGACTTGAACTTAAACTTCAAAAATTATCTACTTTCATTTTAGTTGCAACAAAAAAGGCTAATGACAAAGAACTATTAATGTACACAATTAAATTCCTTAACGACATCGACGTTATGGTTGAAATTACTTCTACTTCTAAAGGATATAAAATCCTTGCTAAATGCATCGACAAACAATATTTATCCTTTATTTTCAAATTCTTTGATGGACTTTTTTAATTAATTGAAACGTTTAAGAGTTGATTTATTTCATTTCATTTATAATTAATATTTCTTCATAATAACATAACGTTAAACAAAAAAGATGAAAAAAAATGAATTAACAGATTTGTTAACATTTAACAACATTATCAACACTATCACTAGATTTAGTAAGTTCTAATTCTATTCCTTGAAGCTCAGGTTCTATATGTTCTTGTATTCTTTCTGAATTATTTCGTTCTCCTAAAAACATTGTTCTTTTTCTATTTGTACGAGGAGTAACACAGCTATATGAAAGAGACCTTTCTTTCCTTGCTTCCGATGGTAATGATTCAGCACGAGACTTTTCATTAGATTTATCAGCAACTAAAGGGGGTGTACTTAATTCTGAACGAGTTCTAGACATTTCTTGATTTAATTTTGTGAATTGCGAATGATTAAGACGAGTAGTTAATCTAGCGTTACCTATATTGAATTTGTTTGGTCTTGAAACTCCTTGTAATTGTAACTGAGCACTTTTTCTTTGGAATTGTTCTTTATGGAGTCTGTCATGGTTGAAAGATAAAGGACTATCAGTTTTTCTTCCATTTAGAGCTTGGTTATGAAATTCCAGAATAGAAGAAGGATCTATTTCAAAAGATGACTTTTGTTTTCGAGATCGGAATAATTCTTTAACTTCAACTTTAGATTCTAAGGAATGGCATGAGTCTTCTTTGTCAAAATGTTGTTTTAAGAATTTAACTATTGCTTGTTGAAGTTGTTCGTTATAAAGAGTATTTTCATTTGATACAACTGAAGGATAACAAGGAATTGCAGGAAGTTGCTCTCCTTTTTTATTTAAATCATCACAAATATAATCATATTGTTCAAGCATGATATCAATAAGGTCTTTAATAACTGATTGATAACTGAAATCAGCACTATTGTAAATAATACATGGACCAAAAGTAGTAGCAATTTGTGAAATAGTTGCTTCATTAAAATCATTATTTGAATAAATATTATGAAGATGTCTAAGAACGAAATATAAAGTATATTGTTCATCATCATTAGATAATGAAATAATCTTTTTAATATTATTTACTTTATTGACTAAGTCTTCTGTTGCTAATCCTTTTTTCATGTCAAAATAATAAATACCTAATATTGGTTCAGCCAATCGTTTTAAATACATTTTTATAATTTCAAAAGCAAGTTTAGGATAAATAGAATTAGTAGCAATATCATTTCCTGAGTCAAGAATAGAAATATATCGACATAAATCAAGTGGTGCAACTTGTTGTAACATAATTTTAGGAGTAATATAATAATTAGATTCTTCTAAATAAGGTATTAATCTATATAATGGTAATGGAACATACCAACCACCTTTTTCTATTGCTACATCAATTGAATAGCCAAAATATCCTATTGATTGTATCAAAGGAGCTAAAGTAACAGTCCATTTATTAAAATCATCAAGAGAAGAACATTCTAATTGATAATAATCATCTCCAGAAAGTATTTCAAATGTTAAGTCTGGTTTAGTAGGACCAAGTTCTTCAGTAGAAATCATCTATATTGTTATTAAAGTTATTACATAAATGTATTTTATAAATCAGATTCATTCAATTAATATTTATTTGATTCTTTAAATAATAAAAAGAGAAGAATAACAAACTCGCTTCAAAATTGCATTATCAAGAATGATACTTAACTTTTTTTCTTTCAACTATAGAATGAGATTCATTGTAAAATTGTATATTAGTTAAAAACAAACATCCTTCTCTTTAAAAAATACTAATTCTACTGGTCTTACAACCATAAAGAGTTTTTTATAGCTTTTATATTTGCCACCTCGGATGTCTATCCATCCTTCTGTTTTATGTGTGTTCATTTATAATTAAAGAATATTAGTTCATAAATTTCTCCTTTTTATTATTTCCATAATCAAATCTTGTTGTAATATTAAAAAAGAAACTTCTGCACTCATTCTTTCTATTTTTCCGTTATTTTTGATTATTGATTTTTCACCAAAAAAAATATATTAATTAAGTTTTTTGTATATTTTCACAAATCTTGTTATTTTGATATACCTCCATTTTATGGTGAAGTTTCTTAAGTCAGTCAAAAACAAAGGATAGTCATCTTTGGAATTTTCAGTAGGGTTTGTTAAACTATGTAAAAATGATTGAAATAAAAATAGAAATAATACATCTATTTATGTGCTGACGTTATTATCAACATCACCCCTTTATAAATTTAATGAGTTGTGAGCAAAACTCAAATACAAGTTCAACTACAAAAATGAAAGTACTAATTTTCACACCACCTAAATTTGTTATAATATATGAAATGAAACAAAACAAATACCATTTAATATAGTTAATATGTTGTATTGAATTACAATACTTATGTCTATTAATAGAATTAAAAATCAAATCCTTACATAAACGAAACTTCTAAAATTTTTTCTGAACGAAACCTTTAATTTCCATGATAGTGAAAAAAATTCACACTTAATATCTATATTATTTCCATGATACTATGAAGAAAGACATATCAAATCCTCATATAAATAAAAAACGCAACAGTTGATATTTGTAAAAAGAGTAGGTTATTTTCAAATATTAAAGAGATGGTGTTGGGGAAAAAAAGAACTTATATTCTGTCATTTTTGAATTAGGATGAACATTTAATAAGAAAATTGAGAAAAGGAATTACAAAATGATAAAATGTAATAGAAGTGATGATTTAGAATATAGTAATTGATTGAATTTGATTTTGGTAATAATGTTATTTTTACTAAGAAACCAAATAGTTCATTTATTGTAACCTTGTTGATTTTTCTAAATAAACAACAATAATACTATTTTAAATATCAAATAAATAAATAATTTCTTACTCACAAATAGTTTTCTTTGTTTTTATATAAGAATTATCAGAATATATTTGTTGAGAAATTTTTAGTAATAGCATCTTCAAATAAGAATTAAGATATAAAAACAACGAATTAATTGTGTATAATACTTGTTTTTATGACAGTGAGATTCCCATTGTTATAATATATATAGATAGTATTTTATGTTGCGTATTATATAATATATTTTATAATTAATCATTGTTGTAGTTATAATAATAATTTTATTCTTTATCATTGTTGAAATAACATTTAGTCTCTTTTAATAAGAGAAATAAAAATATAATTACATTGTTTCAAATTAATATTAGAAAGATGTGGTGAATAATAATATTAGAGATAGTTATATAAAGTTTTATATAAATTGAAAAGGATAGTGTTGATACTTTACTTTGACTAATATTTTATAATCTCTAATATTGGTACTTGATATATTCATAATTGAAAGAATTGAAACGTAATGTAATAAAGAGATAATTTTTATTATTAAAATACATACGATTATTATTGCTAATGGAAGTAATATTAGATAATTATTTACAAATAAATAAATTATTATTTTTTTTTTATCATTTTGTTCTAGTTCTAAAATAAGAGAATAATTAATTTATATGAAAAAAGGATGATTTACTGAAGGAATAGTTTTTATTCCATAACACATAATTAACTATTTAAAGTTTTCATTGTAGAATGGCTTTTTTTAATTACTCGGAAGTATAATCCAATAGTTCTATAAAACTTACCCTTTTAAGAAGTTTCTTTTTAAAATTTGATAATCTGATTTTGTTATTAACTAAGAAACGTTGTTTTGTAACATTTTTTGGTTGTTTCTTATGTGAAGATAAGGGAGTTTTTATTCTTTTGATAACAACAAAAAATAGATTGAAAATTACTATTTTTAGAAATTATATTTTGTTCAAATAACAAGAGTAAAACAGTTTTCTATTTCTTTTTTAAGTAAAGATACGTTATTTACCATATTTGAATGAGCATAATCTTGGAAATGCATTCAATGATCATTTACTTGATTATTTTTTTCTCTTATATTGTGTTTGCTGACCAATATACTATGGTTGGAACAAACTCTAATTTCCTTGAGAAGACTAATTGGAATCCTCAACACTCTGGTGACTTTACAACTTCAGATGACTTGGTTCTTCCAATAGAAGGTTTCTTTAGTGTTTCCTCTTTGAGAGTAAATAAAATTATAGTATCTGCTGATATTGATTTGACAGTTGGAGTACTTATAGTGAATGATATTGAAGATATAAGTAATAAAACTTTTATTGTTAGAGGATTAACTACAATCACTGGTTCTTGCTCAGGAGTTGTAAAGATGAGATCTCTCAAAGGAACAGTTACAAATAATGGGTATCTTCTTGTTCAAGCAACAGAGTCTCTTGTTGTTGTTAACTATGGAACATTGGAAGTGGGAAATTTTGAGTCTGGTGATTATAGTATTTTTACTATGGATGTTGAGAGTTATGGAGATATTATTTATTCAAAACTAATTCATGAATCTAATTATTTTAATTGTTTTGGAGGCAGTATCTCATTTGAAATAACATTACTTCAAATAGTAGTTAATCTCAAAGATACAAAAATTTTAACTAATATGGAAATCACAGTGAAATCGACTATTAATAATTGTACTGGAAAGGAATTATCTATAAAAGGAGAAAGTGTAACTATAACAGACAGTAAGTTTACAAATGTAGAAGTTATTGACACCCAAATAAATTCTTGGAGTTTAGAGTGTATTTCATTATCTCTTTCACAAACTACTGGACCTCAAAAAAATGAAATAAAAGATTCTATCATTACTTCTCAGAATGTGGTGATTAATGGAAATTGGGATATAGTCAACTCTCAGATTGGAAGTGTTACAACAATATCAAATGCACAAATATTAATGGATGACAATTCTCTCTTCTTTGGTATTTTAACTATGGAATTAACAACAATCAATCAAATATTCTACAATGGAACTAATTTGACTACATCTTCATGTACTATTGATTATGTAAAATGTACATCAACATTTAATTACATCTCTACTACAATCAACAATTTAGAATGTTATGAAGGATGTATTTTAGATTATATATCAATAACTTCTCTTTATATCTATCATAAAGAATGCTCAATTAAAACACTTAGAGCACAAAACATCATTGAACATACTGATGAATGGGTTTTACCAACAGATTTAACAGTTTCAAAATCTATTGATTGTCCTGGTTATTTGGTTTGCTATTCTACTTGTTCATTTGTTTCTACTGCTTCATCTGTAAGTGATTTGAATTTTAAAGAAGGGAAAATATCATTATCTTTCTCAATTGTCAATTTAATAAATATTGTATCAACTTCAAGCACAACTATTAAAAGTATTGGAAAAACAACAGACTTATATTTAACCATTAAAAATAATATATTAACATGTGAATCACTTATTAAGAGTCTTGTAGCAATTAACTCTTCTGTAACTTCATATGGAAATATAGAAACTTTAAAAGGTATTAATTCAACGTTTTCAATACAGAATATCAATAACAATATTATATTGGAAAAGATTGTTGGTTGTCAATTCACAACAAAAATTATTGTAGTATCAGGAACACCAGTTATTAAAAATTCTTCATTTGTATTTCTCAGTATTTCTTCTTCGAATCTTATAATTGAAGACTCTGTTATTACTTCAACACTAGAGTTAATTTCAATAACAGTAACTGGAAGCTGTACAACAAGCTCATTCACTTTTGATGATATTTTAATGAATAAATTTACAATGACGTTGTCTTCATGTCTATCAAAATACACTGCCACCAGATTAAACTCTGTTGATTCTTCATTTATCATTCCATGCATCACTAGATTATCAACTATAGATAATGAATTAAATGTTGACTTAATACTCAATGGAGATTCATACATTGGATATGGAACAACTTTAATATCAAAAACAGTTACAAATTATGGATTATTGAAAAATTACGGAACACTGAACGTTTCAGAATTTATCTCTTGTTCCGATAATTCTCAAATATTAGGAAATGGAGAGATTTTCTGTGATCAAGCAGCCGTTAATAGCCTCTCTGAAAATACTATAAAAACGACTATTTTAAATATCACAGCAGATGATATAACATTAACTAAAGTAACTTTTAATGAAAATGGACAATTGAATCAAAACAAACACAACATAACAATTAAAGAATTAATAATAGAAAATGGACTTACTATTATAAAAACTTCTGGGTTTATAGAAAATCATTTACTGGTTGGGAGAGGCAAAATTTTTGGAGACTTAGTTACTTTTAACTCTGTTAAAGAAGTACTAACATCTGTTCATTCAATAAATATTCATTATGTTCGTTCTTCTGTTGAAATAACTGATTGTTCTATTGATACTCTTAATATAAATAAAGTAAATGCACAAATTACAACTAGTATGTTCAATTCGTTATATTCAATGTCATCAAACATTTCAATTAATGGTAAAATACTTATTGGAACATTACAATTATATGAAACAGAAATAGAGGAGTTTGGAGAAACAAATATGGTTGAAATTAGTTATTTTTTAAATGGATTTAGTAATATTAATGTACCTATTTCTATAACATCTAGAATTGAAGGTACTTTTACATTCAAGAAACCTGTTAAGTTAAAAAATATTCACTCACCAAAAAATTACGAAATTACTTCAGAGTCATTACTAGAATGTGAAGGTTCTATTGATTCTTTTTCATTTAAAATAATTAATAAAGGAACAATGGTAATTTCAGAGGATTGTCAAGTTTCTGTTATTCTTAATAATAAAAAAGAGCTTATTGTTCAAAATACTAAAATAATCAGAACAACTATCATAAATGATGGAATTGCTACATTTGTAAATGTTACAGCACCATTAACATCTATCACAAGTTCATCTTCAATGTCATTTTCTAATATTAGTGAACTGAATAGTATTCATCTATTAACTGATTCTATTACAAATATGAAAGGAGACGTGAGTACCTCATCATTTTTATGTGAGGGGAAATACTCTGTTGACGCTAATGCAACTTTAGATTTTACAACATCAAGTCTGAAGAAATGTATTATTGAATTTCCTAAACCAGTATATCATCTTCATTTGACTACACCAACACAAACAACTCCATATTTTGTAAGTGTTACACCAAATAAATTACCAATTGTTGGAGATTCATTCTATCTCATTTCATGTGATAGTCAACCATTCCCTGATAACCCTTCTTCAGAAGTTAGTGGTGTTGATAGATTAGCATTATCGCGTGAGTTGGATAGTAATTCGTATAATATTTCAATAATAAAATGTCCATCAGGATCTTCATACATTCTTAGTTGTATTGAATGTAAAGATGGTGAATATCAAATTGAAGATGAATGTTATAAATGCCCTCCAGGAACATACTCTGATAAATATAATTGTATCCCATGTTCAGAAGGGACATATAGTATCTTATCATCTTCAATATGTCTAGTTTGTGGAAATGGTATGTGGTCATACATTAGTTCTTCTGGGTGTTATTCGTGCAAATCTGGGTATTATAAAAACAGTACAATGGGTTGTGTTCCATGCACTCAAAACACTTGGAGTAATGAAGGAGCAGATGAATGTATAGAATGTGATAAAGGGATGATTACAATAGATCATATTACATGTGTTAAGAATGAAACAAATTCAAGTGATTGTGAGGATGGATTTTATTTTGATAACAGTGAATGTGTTGAATGTGAAAATGGGTTTGTTGAATTTAATAAATGCATTCAATGTAATGATGGTGAAGAGTTGAACGAAGAGAAGACAGCTTGTATTGTTTATTCAAAAAATCAATGGATACTTTATGTACTATCATTTTTAATATTTGCTATTGTATTGATCATGTTTTGTCTGATGCTGGCATTCCATATTTCAAATTATTATAAAGAAAAAAGAAGAGAGTTGGAACAAAAGAAATTCGTAGAAGAAATGTTTACAATCCAAAAATCTCCTTCAGAAGAAGAAGATATTTCAGTTAAACAAATGACACCAGACGAATGGCTATACCCTGATTCAAGTATTACTGTCAATGGAAACTTTGACGCATTGAATAAAATAAAGGAAGATAATTTCTTGGAAAGATATCACTTATATAGAAGTGGTCAAATGAATGAAAAACAAAAACAAGAATTTTCAGAAGAAATTAAAATAAAAGAACAAAAAATGAAAGATTATTGCAATAAGTCTAATAGTGGAAATAATAAAGAAGAAAATAGTGAAAAGAACATACAAACTACATGCAATTCAGAAATAGAATTGGAAAATGAAAATCAAGAAAGTAAAGTTCAAGAAGAAAAAGAAGAAACAATAAAAGTTCCTGAAGAACTACAAATAGATCTTGAACAAAAAGAGGAAACACCTGAAGAGGATCAAACAGAAAAAGTAACTGAACTCCAGCCAGAGTCACTACCTGGTAACCAACAAATAAAAACAAGAAATGATATTTCTTCTAAAGCTGAAATTACAATTGCATTAAATGAAATTAATAAATTAAAAGAGAAGTATGAAAAAGATCTAATGAACGTGAAATCTATGGTAAGGTCATTAACATATGAAAATAATGAGACAAAAGAGAAACTTAAAGTTCTTGAAAATGACAAAGAGAATAAAAACCAACAAGAACTTAAAGAACGAAAAAAAGCTATTCTAAACCGTGCAGGAATTGATGGTGGAAGTAGAGTCCAAGATATTTTAATTTCAGGAGTTAATCCAAGATTTATTCCATTACCTGATCCAAATGGTAAAAGTACTAATTATTTAAAATAAATATTTTATTCTTTTTTATAACCTTAATTATTTAGTTGATTATATACAAAGTAAATTTTGTTACTTTTATCTTTTATTATCTTAATATCATGAAATTATTCTTTTCAATTTTTTTGTTTATTATAAAAGTTATTAAATCATTACAATGAAATAAACATAGCATTTTTCTATTAACTCTATTAATTCATAAACAAACTATTATATTCTTAGGTTTATTGTTTCTTGTTAAAGTACTAGAAAAAATAATATACAAATTAATCGTTGAGAAAGAATTACATTATTAACTGATTTAGTTCAAATATCTATTGGTAATACCCATTAAGAATTTAACTCGTTTTATATTATTAAAATATGCAAAGTATTACAGAACCTACTTACTTTGTTGGTGTTTCTTTTTTATTAGATTCTTAAGATAATCCAAAAACACTCCAATACTTTCATGTTATAATGCTCCTTTTTGTTTTTTTCAATAAATGTTCTTTAAAAATAATTAAAGAACCACCTAGATGAAACTATTTAGTTGTTAATATATAAAAAAGAATAATTCTTAACTATAAAATGAAAATCATTTTCAATTTAACTCATAAATTTGAATGTTTGATAAACTTCTTCTATTTTTATTGTTAATAGAACTTTCTAAGATATATAACGTAAAACCCACAATAATATATTCTATGTTTTATTCAAAATATTGATTCTAAATATATACATTCTTATTAAAATGAAAAACTATCTTATTCAATTCACAAATGTTGTCACAAGAATAAATGACAGCAATAATAATTCTTATCACTAAATTATTCTATTTTCTTTTCTTTGTTTTATGATACTCTTTGTTAAAAGTTTTAAATCTATTTTAAAAGTTATTAGTATGAAAGGAATATTTTCTAAAGGAAAAAAACAGTAATAAAATTGTTTATTGACAATAAAAAAATTAAAAAAAATAAAAACTAACTGAGATGAATAAGAAATAGTTTCAATGAACCAACACATTTCCAGTGATTCTGTTGTAATTACAATTTCTCTCAACCAATTAATGAATGAAGAAGAATGTGACACTTTATTAGATCAATTAAATAATGCTATTGAACTGGTTCAGTCTAAGAAAAAAGAGTTAAAAAAAGGTTTTAATGAAACAAAAAGTCAAGAAACAAAAGAACAAGAGAATATTAAAGAAGTTGTTATTGTAAGAGAATTAGAAGTTCACAAAAAAGAGTATCAATATGAAGAATTCTTACCTAAAAATGATCTTGGTCTTTTTAAAAAATATCAATCAACACTATTTGTATGGACTAAAACAACAAAATTTTCTGTTTTGTTTGATACAAACAAAGTTGGATGGAATAGATCATTATTCAATTCGTGCATACTCAATAAACCAAATCTT